GGCCAAAAAAGGCCTCAAACCAGCTGAAAAATCAGCTGTGAGGCACAGTGCAGGTCAGGGGGTCAGAGGTCGGAGGTCGGGATTGCGTGTGCATGTGCAGGGGGCATGGGGGGGGCGGGCATTGCATTCTGGGTGCTGGCACGTGAGTGCGCGCGTGCTAATGCATGCACAATTTTTGGCACAGGAGCCCAAAAAGTTTAGCCACTATTGGCTTAGAGCCTACTTCATGTTTGAGGGCTTGCAAGCAATTTCTCAATATGATCTCTGCCTCTTATTTCTGATAGTTACTTTTATCACTTGGATTTCCTCCTTCATATAGTTAAATAGTCTTCATATAATATAGTTAAAATGATTGTTCTATAAACATAACATTTTCCTCTGTAATATTAAAATTTAAATTTAGAGGTCTCTCTGAAACTACATCCAAGAATTGTCTCATACAGTAGTCATCTACCTACAGCCACAGTTCAGACTAAATCTTCTCTTTCCAAGTGAGGTGGTCATTAAATAAATTGTGACCAATTTTATACTTTTTTGCCATGGTAGTTAAGCGATTCACCATGGTTGTTAATTACGCAGTCATTAAATGTATCTGGCTTCCTTCATTGACTTTGCTTGTAACAAGCTATGTGGGAAGGTTGCAGATGATAGTTACATAACCCTGGGATACTGCAATCATCATAAGAGGCATGCTGGTTGTCAAATGCCCAGGTTTTGATCGCATGACTGCAGGAATGCTGCAGTCTGCAAAATGCAAGGATCAGTTGTAAGTCACTTTACCATTGTAACTTGCTAAATAAATGGTTGTAAAATGTGGACTACTTGTAGAATCTCATCTCTGTTACCATCTGGCAAAGTAAATGCCATTCTAAGCAGATATCCCAGCCTTATGGTTTCTAGTTTTAAATGCAGTACTGAATGGGTAATCTACAGTTCCTCCTCCTTGCAGTCTTCCTGCCAGTCTCTAGTGCCAGACAGCAAGTTGCTGCCTCAAAGGTTTGACCCAACATTTTCTTGAGGGAGAGATGCTAATTTTGGTGTGTAGCAAAATGAGATTTCCCCAGTCCCTCTTTTTTTGTTCTTTTGGAAAGTGCAGTCAGAAAAAAGAGGAAAATATGTACCAAAGCTTTGGGGAGAAAAAGAGCACTAAGATTCTTCTCTAAATTCTGGTTAAAGTTGGACTTCACAGAAAGAAGGATTTTCCAACAAATTGCATTGAGATAACATCTGTTCAAGAGTTCTCCAGAGGAATAGGAAAAAGTTAAGTAGTTAAGTACCAAGTTTCTTTTTTCTTTATGTAATAGCTAATGCTGCATTGACTCTGGCAACTATTCTGTACAAGGATCACTGATAGTATTTTTATGTGCACATCAGAATGACCGGTAAACTGGAAAGTGGCCCGCATCTGACATCAGATCTGTCCAGTGGTGGGATTCAAATTTTTTTACTACTGGTTCTGTGGGCATGGCTTGGTGGGCGTGGCCATGTGACTGGGTGGGTGTGCTTTTTTTTGCTTTTTTGCAGCCCCCACCCATTTTTTGGCCCTTCTGAGCCTCAGAGGAGCCTCTAGGGGGGTGTTTTTGCTCCCCTAAAGCTCCTCTGAGACTCAGGAAGAAATAAAAACAGATCATGGGAGGGGCACGCAGCACTGCACCCCGCTCCGTTTTGGGAGCTTCCTGGCCTCAGAAGAGCCTCTGGGAGGGGCGTTTTTGTTCCCCTAAGACTCCTCTGAAGCTCAGGAAGGCAAAAAATGGGGAGTGCTGAGCCATTTTTGCCTTCCTGGGCCTCAGCAAGGGGAATCCCGGCACAGCTGATCTATGTACAGCTGATTGTTGGGAGGGGAAAAAAGAAAGAAATACCTTAGGCAAACGTCAGGTGGGAGGAGGGTGACCAGGTCAGGGGCGTGGCCAGCCAGAAGTTACTACCAGTTCGGGGACCCATGCCAAATTCTTGCTACTGGTTCACCCAATCTGGTGCGAACCGGCTGAATATCACCACTGGGTCTGTCAGAAGGTTATCTTTTGCCGTATATTTTCCATTGGAATTTTTTTTTTCTATAAATAAAAAAGTTCTGCTTGTTTTAATGCTGCCTGTTTGCTATGGGGCCCTCTCTGTCTTAAATGTTGGAGTTAAGGAAGACACGAGATGAAGGGCCCTCTGGAAATTAAATGATAGTAGCAATTACTACCCAAAAGATAAACTAAGACAGAACTAGGGTGTGTAAATCCAGAGAACTTCAAGTAGAACTTTGAGACCTCTAGATTTTTATCCTGAGATCAGTCTGCTGCTACATGTTCTATTCTCTTTCTCTCTCTCTCCCTCCCTCCCTCCCCCTCTCCCTCCCTCCCCCTCCCTGCCCTGCCTCTTCCCCCCTCCACACATATGCTTTTTAAGAGTCTTATGGAATACATTGAAGGAATAGGTAGATTTAGTACAGGATTATCAAACTCAAGGCCTGGGGACCGGATCTGGCCTGTGGGGCCACCCTGGAAACAGCGAAGGACAGGCCCACAGTGCCTCTGCCAGTGAAAACGGAGCTTGGGAGGGCTGCGTGTGGCCCTCCTGAGCTCCGTTTTCACTGGCAGAGGGTTACAGGAGGCCGTCGCAGCCGAAAATGAAGCTTGGGAGCCTGTTTTTGCTGGCAAAACGCTTGGGCCTCCATAGGTACCCCCAACACGAGTGATGGTCATGTCCACCCTGACCGTTCCATCCTAGCCCCCCAAGGTCAAACATAACTCTGATATGGCCCTCAATGAAATTGAGTTTGACACTCCTGATTTTGTAGAGTATCTCTTCTACTATGTTGTGGACATCATTGGGATAAAGATCACTTTTGGTGAGAAACTAAATAGTAAGCTTATATTACAGATTTATCCTCACATAGAAATTTGTTCTTCCACTGTAAGAAAACATATTTTCAGTTTAAATGTGGTATTTTGGGGGTGGGTGGGTGGTGCCTTTGAGTCAATATTGATTGCCTGGAAAATTCCCTGCAGTTTTCTCAGGAATATTTCAAAAATGGCTTGCTATAGTCTTTTTCCTATAGTTAGACAGAAAGCTACTGGTTCAAACTCACCCAGTTGGCTTTGTGTCTAATTCAGAACTCATAGTTTCCCAATTTCTAGCCTGGTGCCTTAATCACCAACAGTATGGCTCTCTCTAGATTATATTGTATAATATTATGCTGTCTGCATATCCTACACTTAAGTTTTTATTTCTTTGATTCCGGAACACAATAGAACGAGAAAATGAGCATATTCATCTAAATGTAATTATAATATATATAATGATTTCTGCAAAAAAAAAAAAAAAAATAATCCACACGTTTTCCTTGGGAGGAAATTATTTTTATAGCACGTTTTAGAATTTTCCCTTTTAGAAAATTTGGAATCTCTCTCTCTCACACACAGTTGCTCATACATTAAAACATTTGTTGCTAATATACAGTATAAGCCTATAGGGGAAAATGTTATATATATTTTTAAAAAAGATAGAACTTGCAGCCTGTTAGCTAATTTTTGCTGCACTGGTTACCAGCTTGTTTCCAGGTCCAATTCAAGGTACCGGTGTTGATCTTTAAAATCCTACATGGCATGGCACTGGGTTATTTGCGGGACTGCCTTTCCCTGATTTCATTCACCTGTCCCATCTGATCCAACAGAATAGGCATGTTATAGGTTTTGTCATCTAGCGTGCTGCATTTTGTGGGTCCTAGGTGGCAGGCATTTCTGCTGTGGCCCCTGTACAGTGGAATCTACTTTTCCCAGGTGAGGATGGCACTACTAAACCTTTGCAGGTCCTTTAAGACTTGGTTATAGCAAGGCTTGGGAACCTCAGGGGATGGGTGAACCTAATGAGATGGCTGTATTACTATTAACATCCTTTGTCTATCATTCTTGTTTTAGCTATTTTTATAGTCTTAAAATATTTTAATACTTGTTAACAGTAACGATTTTAGATGCTTAAATGCCAGAGTCAATTGGATTGAAATGAGTGCTAGAGAAATTGATCATTGCTTGGCTGATTGATTGTTTTACTTTTTTTGTACATTGTTCAGAGTTTCTTGTGTTTCTTATTATATATAATATTAGTATTTATACAATAACAAGTCGCTCTCCAAATGCCATTATAGATCCCAGGTTCGTTCATGCTGGTTTCACTGCTGGGAGTTGTACTTCACAGTAGTGGCTGCAGGACCATAACTTCCCTGCCTTTGTACTAAAATTAGGAAAGACAAGTGTTAGGGATATACACCCTAGCAGAACCTGCACGGCAGTCAGGCAGGCAGGCAAATATGTGAGATAAACGTTGTTGTAGTTTACACTCAGTAAAACAGATACAATGTGCTAGTTAAATAGTTTATTCCAGTAATAGTTATAGCATAGTCAAACAGTCCATATATCATACACTAGTTCAGTCCGTCCGGGGATTATTCAGTTGCAAAGTCCAGTGTCGAAAAAGAGGTCAGTAAACTTACAAATATCAGTCCAGTAATATATCTCCTCACAGTAGAGATATAAAGAATTCAAACCTCCTTTCTTCCTTCAGCAACAGCAAAGAACACGCAGTTATCACACCATCAATCCATCATCGTCTGCAAGCAATCCAGTAAGCCAGCAATCAATCAAGTTCTCTTATGGCGGTTTTACAACCGCACCCAAAATTACATGCTTTGCAGTTTAAAGTGACACACACTTAAACTCACAATCATAGTCTATATATATTATTTTACCCAAACCACGTTAGGTAACCTATGTTATTCCTAACATAAAGAAATAATGGTTTAGAAAGAAAGTAAAATAATTCATGAGAGAAAAGAAGACTTCCAAAAAGAATGGACATAGTGCCTGAGAATCTAAATATTCAGCAATCTTGCATAGGCCTTGAATAAATGCAGCATTGCTAACTAATTTATGATGTCCTTTGAAGTTTCTGCTGTTACAGTGTTACCTTATGCAAATGTTGATTAGATTTGTTTTTTCTTCTCTTGTGTTTTGAAGGACATTAATCAGAAATTGCAGGAAGACAACCAGGAGCTGCGAGACCTTTGTTGCTTCTTGGATGATGACCGGCAGAAAGGCAAAAAAGTATCCCGTGAATGGCAGAGGCTTGGGAGGTATAGTGCCAGCATGATGCATAAAGAGGTTGCCTTATATTTGCAAAAGCTGAAGGAACTGGAAGTAAAGCAGGAAGAAGTGGTGAAGGAAAATTTGGAACTGAAAGAGCTTTGTGTCTTGTTGGATGAAGAAAAGGGTGGTGTTGCTGGCTGCCGAAATTCAATTGATAGTCAAGCCAGTCTTTGCCAATTAAATGCCACAAGTACATTTATAAGGGATGTTGGAGATGGGAGTAGTACCTCCAGTACTGGGAGCACTGATAGTCCTGATCACCATAAGCACCATTCAAGCTCAAGTCCTGAGCACCTTCAGAAAACAAGGAGTGAGGGAAGTCCTGAGCATCAAAAGCACCAGAGTGCTAGCCCTGACCACCTCCACAAACCTCGAAGTTCTGGAAGTCCTGACCACCAGAAGCATCTTAAAGGACCAAGTCCAGAGCATCATAAAACCTTAACCAAAGGTACTTCAGAGCAGCAGAAGCACAGTTGTAGCAGTCCAGAAACACTGCCAAAGCACATGTTGAGTGGGAGCCCAGAACTCTTTCAAAAGCATAGGCCTGGGAGCAGTCCAGAGCACCAAAAGCACAGCAGCAGTGGAAGCCCTGAACTTCTTCAAAAGCATGCTCTGAGCGGAAGCTCAGAACACCTCCCAAAAGTGAGAGGCACAAGTCCTGAGCATCTCAAGCAGCATTACGGGGGAAGTCCTGAGCACCTCAAACATTTGGGCAATGGTAGCAGAGAAGGCACTTTAAGGAGACAAGTTGCAGATGATCAGTCACCCCATCATAGGGGTCTCTACAATGGGATGAATGGTGGGTCTTCCTTAATTATTTTTATTTATTTATTATGATGTTAGGGGCATTGACTGCGATTTTTTAAATGATGGGCACTAATTATCATAAAAGTTGTATTGTGAACTCATCTTTTGGTATGTGGCACGTTCACAATGAAAGCCATTTTTTTTTTGTCCTGGTAAGCAGGAATTGTTTTTGCCTTTGTTCCCTCTGAAAAATGCAGATGAGATTGAAGGATGTGTTGTTGTAATAGGCTGCATAGTACTCGCATCTCATGGGCTTTGTGCGAAATCGTCTTACCTGCACGGCAAGGCATTGAAATAAAGTGGTGTGCAGAGTCTGAGAGCATGTTGGCTTACCTTAAAAGGGAGAGATAAGAGTGAAATGAAGGTAAGTGTCCCCCACTTCTCTCCCAAGGAGAAGACTTTGAACAAAGAGAGTAGGTAGTATTTGCATCTCTTAATTAGGTTCTATTTCCTTTATGCTTGATTTGCTTCAGATGCCTAATTGAGACATATTGATACTAATCAATAATCTTAATAACTTTGAGGAAGGGAGACTATGCTACTCCAAGTGTTGTCTTTGCCCAGATTAAAACGTCAGGAGGTATCTTGATGTCCTCATTTGGCAGTTTTCTTAATAACGTGCTTTATTTTTGCTCTTGACAAATGGATGGATTGCTATCGACCTTCTAGAGAGGAAACTGACACTAAAATAAAAAAGAGTACAGAGAACAGGTATAGTTTCTATGATCCTTAGTCTAATATCCATATAGTGTTCCTATCTTGAGATGGGTGCACAGATTTCTTTGAGAAAAAAAAGGCAGTCTTGTTTGGCTGTTATTTGGGATATTTCTCTACTTGTAAGCTTAATTACTTCTTTTTCTGGGAATGTTTACAAAGCAAAAATTGGTTTGCTGGCATTTAGCTTTTCGAATGTATTTGTGATGGTGGAGTGACATTTGAATAGTTTTCTCTAGAATGCAAATGTAGTTTGAACTAGCACGACAGGAGGTATGCCAGGCTACAGAGGCACTATGGATGATTTTTAAGATTTTGTACAGTTGTAGGTTTCAATGATTATTTAGCACAATATGCTCCAGTTATTTGTAAATGTTTTGGCCCATAACAAAAAGGATCCAAAATAAATAATTTTCTGATTAAAAAGCAAAATAAAGGTATTTTGAAGACTTATATTTCTGATTGCAGGAGCTACCTTCTGGGGAGAGGGTCCGTTTCCTCATTATGTACAGAATTCACTCCAGATACAAAACTAGGCCACTAGAGTTGCTAATTTTTTACTCACTGAACTATTTTTATTTGAACCATCATCCCCCAAATATAAAGGAACATTCTAAAAATTATAATTTTCAGTACAGTCCACATATGGGCAAAATACAGATTCTTTGATTGCTATAAGGGAATTTTTAGATGTCATTGCCTTATCAGAAACAGGAATATCTATGGATTGTTTTCATTCATTCTCACTATCTGTTTGCATCTGCTATTTTTGTGTATTGCATCTTTCTTTCCACTGTCAGAAAGGGAAAGAGGAAGAGATGAATTGCTCAATAGATTGACTATGTAAGTTCCTGGAGATGATGGATGAATAGCTTGATAACTTGGTTCAGATAGAATTGGGCAGCGGAAGAAGTTCATTTAATATTATGATATATATTGAATAGCTTTTAATGTATGTAAATGTAATTGTATTAAATTTACTATTGTTAATTTATCATTCAAAATTAAAAAATTGCTTGTAATCTTGTTAGCCTTCAGTATAGCTTTTATTTTATTGATAGCTTTTATTGAAAGTTACATCAATGTCAACTCAAATTTTATGACGTTCCTCTCTGATTAACTTCACAATTTCATTGCCTTAACCCTGGAGCAGGTAAAGTTTAAATATTTGGGGGCACGTAGGTGAACTTGACTTTCGGAAAGACAGCTGCAAGTTATCTAGTGATGCTATGATATTGACCATTTCTTTTAGCTTTTTTTCTTTTTTCTTTTATGATGGGGTCAGGAAGAGAACAGCCTAGAGGCAAACTGCTCAATTTCCCACTCTTACATCACTTAGAAATGGGTGCAAGTTCTGGTGCTATTTTGCCACTATTAGAAAATAATAGTCCTAGGCATGCTGCAAATTGGATACAACTTGTGTGTTGTCTGTGTACCATGGCTTATTTACCCTAACTTCATAAACTGTATTTATCTTCTCCTGCACTATCATGTTGAACTTATCAGAAGCATTTAATGCCTTTCACTAAGTTTGTGTATGCGAAACTACTTGCAAGAGTTGGAGGCACCATGTTACAGTGGTCCTGCTCCTTTTCTGTCCCATCAAATCTTAACTTAAAATTAGCATCCATTTTCTAGGAAATTAAGGTTCCTTCCCTATATCTCTCCCTATTCCTCGATGTTTCTCCCATCTGCAAATTTAGTATGGATTGACTAGTCGATAATACTCTGGGTTCTGTTCCCCACTTCCTGCTTTTTATTTTTATTTTTTATTTTTGATAGAAACAAGTATTGCCCACTTCTAGTCATCTGGTGCTTCATCCATCGCAGAGATTTCTTAGAGGCAGGAGATATGGTAGAAGTGCTTCACTTTCTCTTAGAGTTCCCAGTACTGCTATGCTGTTTATTGACTGTTTTCTACCCTGTTGCTTAGGATCAAAGCTACTGCTTACATGCCTTCCTCCATCTTCTGTAGGAAAAAGAGGCCAGGGATTCCCTGGACAGACCACATAAATAGCTCCTAAAAGAATTTTAAAGTAATTAAAATGCCCTTTTACTATTTATTATATTTCTGATAGATGTGCAGTTTTCTTTGGGAAAATGTATCTTCTCCTTGACTGGGTAGTTAGCAATTAGTATTATCAAAGCTGTTTTTTTTTCTGCCTTCCACTTACTTTGCCTTGGAGCTCTGTATTATGCCAGGTATCTTTAATAGTTTAATTTGCTCTGTCTTCCTAGCTTTATGGTTTCTTTCTAAGTTGTGTCACTTGTTATACCTTCAATTTTTTTTCTTGAAAGTTCCATCTCTTCTTTTTCCTTTATGGGAAAAAGTAAAAGTTAATTCTCACATGCACATTCGTAGCTTGATATAGTTTCACTGAGTTTCTCAACATTGCATGGCTGGCAACTGAATGTGTGAACTGTACCTGCTAAAATGTCTTAGATTTGAATGATTATTCAGTGTTGCACATAGAGAGAGATTTACATGGCTGAAAAGAATGATTGTGGGCAGTATTCCCCTCCATCTGTCTGCTTCTCAGGTATATCTGTTGGAAAGATAGATTGTCTCTGAAAACTGTTTCTTGTAAAATTGCTTCCAGAATAGTGAATGTTAAAAATGCATGTACTCTATGTCGCCAACCTTTTGGACCTCAGGGACCACCAAACTCATAATTTTAAATCCCGCGGATCAGAGACCCTGGGAAAATCCCCCAAAAAGTCTGCAGGAAAATTCCCCACCCGGTTTTCCTACCAATCGATCATTCTTTATTTGGGATCGCAGGATATTTATTGTCTCCGTTCTCAGGGGGGAGAGAGAGAGAGAGAGAGAGAGAGAGAGACTGACTGACTTTTGGCTTCATGCAAGGAAAGCAGCAGAAGCAGCAGAAGTCTTTCTTTCTCCCTCAAATTCTGCCACAAATGAGTCTTTGCCAGCACAGCCTCTTGAGCAGGAGGCCTTGCAGGGTCCCAAAGATTCATTTCTGGTGGAGTTTGGGGGAGAGTAAGAAAGACTTTTGCTGCTTTCCTTGTGTGCAGGCAAAAGCAAAAGAAAGAAGTGGAAAGAAGCATCCCAGTGGTCAGGCGTGGCATGCGTAGCGAGTGGGGCAAGTTCCCCCCTCCACCCTTCCCCCTTTTCCCTTTCCCCCCTCCCCTCACTACCTCGTGTTGTTCGCAATGCAAGTGACGCAACCTTGTGTTCCCGTGAGCCATCTTGGCGGCACAGCCTTGTGTTCCCGTGCAGCCTGGATTAATTGCTTGGGGGGTGCTTTGGGGGTGACAATTCTTTGCGGACCACCAAAATTTTCTCATGGACCACCAGTGGTCCCCGGCCCACTGGTTGGCGACCACTGCTCTATGTGACTAAATCCTGTTCCTTTCTTTATTTATGGCAAGGATAGAGTAGAATAGAAAATATATTCATAGAATCCAAGGATGGGACTCATCAAATACGTCTCCACCACAGCAAGTATAGAAATCCTGCAATATACTATCAAATACTGAAGCATTTTATATATTAATGTTGCTTCTTGCATAGATTAATGAGTTTAAATGATGCTTGGGCATTCTTTACAGTTCCTGTGAGGGGGGACTATGGAATACTGGCTTTATGGAATATATCACATTTAGAAGTGTATGGGCAGAAATTAAATGTTATTGAGAATGTGGGCTTCTATCAAAATTGACAGCTCCTTTTCTCTACTTTGGGCTGTGTTTTCCCATCGTTGGATATAGATGGGAAAGAGAAAAAAAAGAATCATGGGATGGGGTTGCCTTCTTTGAATCCATTATGGCATATTGTGGAAAGATGGATTGGAACAACTTGTAAGTACTTGTCTTTTTAAGCTCCTGTCTCATTTTGGATACCATCTATGAAACTCTTCATATCACCGCAAATCATTATATGCCTCATGTAAATTATCATGTAAAATGCTGTTTGGAAATGCTTGGCATTGTAGCCATAGCTCCAACTTTGGTAAAAGTTGTGCTATCTTGCAGCAATCAAATATGATGGGCTTTTGCCAATAAATAAAATCAATAGCCTCAGTGCTCTCTTAAAGAAGCCTTCTATAATTTTATTATAGATCCCTTTTGTTTGTCTGGGAGCGCCCTTCCTTTTCTGTTTTGCATCTGAGGAAAATATCAAAAGACTGCTGCTTTGCTTCTCATTCCCTGTTGAGGTTATTAATGAGCAAAAGTAAAAGTGCTGATTAACACTCTCTGGCAACAATCTGGAGGTGTGATACATTAGGAAATGAACAGATCCTTTAGAGAAATAGC